AACAAGTAGATTTTCTGCGAACGAAAAGAAAAACTTCACAGTTGCTGGCTAAGCGAAATTAATAACCTCTTGTTTGCCGACTGAAACAAAAGCTTCCTCGACAGTTCTAAACTATGGGGATGTAGCTCAAATGGTAGAGCGCTCCCTTTGCATGCGAGAGGTACGGGGATTGATGCCCCGGATCTCCAAAGGTAATCACTATCTGCAGATAATCAATTGCATATTGAAACTCCTAACAAGTAGATTTTCTGCGAACGAAAAGAAAAACTTCACAGTTGCTGGCTAAGCGAAAAAAATAACCTCTTGTTTGGCGACTGAAACAAAAGCTTCCTCGACAGTTCTTAACTATGGGGATGTAGCTCAAATGGTAGAGCGCTGACTTTGCATGCGAGAGGTACGGGGATTGATGCCCCGGATCTCCAAAAGGTAATCACTATCTGCAGATAATCTATTGCATATTGAAACTCCTAACAAGTAGATTGATGCCCCGGATCTCCAAAAGGTAATCACTATCTGCAGATAATCTATTGCATATTGAAACTCCTAACAAGTAGATTTTCTGCGAACGAAAAGAAAAACTTCACAGAAATTCTGCAGATAGTGATAAAGGTGCAAAACTATCTGCAAAACTTCTGCAGATAGTGATAAACGTAATCACTATCTGCAGATAATCTATTGCATATTGAAACTCCTAACAAGTAGATTTTCTGCGAACGAAAAGAAAACTTCACAGTTGCTGGCTAAGCGAAATTAATAACCTCTTGTTTGCCGACTGAAACAAAAATTTCCTCGACAGTTCTAAACTATGGGGATGTAGCTCAAATGGTAGAGCGCTCGCTTTGCATACGTGAGGTACGGGGATCAATGCCGCGCATCTCCAAATCTAGGGTCACTCATCAAATGGTAATCATTATCTCCAGATAATCTATTGCATATTGAAATTCCTAACAAGTAGATTTTCTGCGAACGAAAAAAAACTTCATAGTTGCTGACTAAGCCAAAAAAATTCCGCGAGATTTGATAGACATGGGATATAGGTCGAATGGTAGAGAGCCTACTTAGCAAGCCAGAAGTACTGGGGAGCAATACCCCGCATCTCCGAAGTTAAGGACATAGAGCAATTAATTAACTTTCTTCAGAAAACTACCTTTATTGAAGTCTTATACAAGAAACACCTTCCAAGAAGAATTTTAACCTCTTGTTTGCCGACTGAAACAAAAGCTTCCTCGACAGTTTGTAATTATGGGGATGTAGCTCAAATGGTAGAGCGCTCGCTTTGCATGCGAGAAGTACGGGGATCGATGCCCCGCATCTCCAAAACTAGAGTCACTCATCAACTTGCAATCACGATCTCCAGATATTCTATTGCATATTGAAATTCCTAACAAGTAGATTTTCTGCGAACGAAAAGAAAAGCTTCATAGTTGCTGACTAAGCGAAAAAAAAAATCCGCGAGATTTGATAAACATGGGATGTAGGTCAAATGGTAGAGCGCACACTTAGCAAGCCAGAAAAACGGGGAGCAATACCCAGCATCTCCGAAAGTAAGGACACCGAACAATTAATTAAATTTCTTCAGAAAACTACTGAATACTGAAGTCTTATACAAGAAATACCTTCCCAGAAAAATTTTAACCTCTTGTTTGCCGACTGAAACAAAAGCTTCCTCGACAATTTGAAATCTTGGGGATGTAGCTCAAATAGTAGAGCGCTCGCTTAGCATGCGAGAGTTACGGTGATCAATGCACCGCATCTCCAAATTTAGAGCCACTCAGCAAATGGTAATCACTATCTCCATATAATTTTTTGCATATTGAAATTCCTAACAAGTGCGTTCGCATTTTCTTTTCTGCGAACGAAAAGAAAAACTTCAGAGTTGCTGACTGAGCGAAAAAAAAATTCCGAGAGATTTGATAAACATGGGATGTAGGTCGAATGGTAGAGCGCCTACTTAGCAAGCCAGAAGTACGGGGAGCAATACCCCGCATCTCCGAAGTTAAGGACATCGAGCAATTAATTAACTTTCTTCAGAAAACTACTGAATATTGAAGTCTTATACAAGAAACACCTTCCAAAAAAAATTTCGCCTCTTGTTCGCCGACTGAAGCAAAAGATTCTTCGACAGTTCTAAATCATTGGGATGTAGCTCAAATGGTAGAGCGCTCGCGTAGCAGTCGGGAGGTACGGGGTTCAATGCTACGCATCTCCAAAACTTCAGCCACTCATCAAATGGTAATCACGATCTCCAGATAATCTATTGCATATTGAAATTCCTAACAAATAGATTTTCTGCGAACAAAAAGAAAAACTTCATAGTTGCTGACTATGCGAAAAAAAATTCCGCGAGATTCTTATCAAATTCGGCGAGATTTGATAAAACAAATTCCGCGAGATTTGTAGCTCAAATGTTAGTGCGCTCGCTTAGCATGCGAGAGGTACGGGGATCAATGCCCCGCATCTTCAAATTTAGAGCCACTCATCAAATGTTAATCACTATCTCCACATAATCTATTGCATTTTGAAATTCCTTATAAGTAGATTTTCTGCGAACGAAAAGAAAAACTTCATAGTTGCTGGATAAGCGAAAAAAAATTCCGCGACATTTGATAAACATGGGATGTAGGTCAAATGGTAAAGCGCCCACTTATCAAGCCAGAAATACGGGAGCACTACCCCGCATCTTCAAAGTTAAGCACATCGAGTATTTAATTAACTTTCTTCAGAAAACTACTGAATATTGAAATCCCATACAAGAAATACCTTCCCAGAAAATTCATAACCTCTTGTTTGCCGACTGAAACAAAAGCTTCCTCGACGGTTCTAAACTGTGGGGATGTAGCTCAAATGGTAAAGCGCTTGCTATGCATGCGAGAGGTACGGGGAGCGATGCCCCGGATCTTCAAAACTAGAGCCACTCATCAAAAAGGTAATCACTAACTCCATATTGAAATTCCTATCAAGTAGATTTTCTGCGAACGAAAAAAAAACTTCATAGTTGCTGACTGAGCGAAAAAAAAATCCGCGAGATTTGATAAACAAGGGATGTAGGTCAAATGGTAGAGCGCCCACTTATCAATCCAGAAGTACGGGGAGCAATACCCCGCATCTCCAAAGTTAAGGACATCGAGTTTTTAAATAACTTTCTTCAGAAAACTACTGAATATTGAAATCTTATACAAGAAATACCTTCCCAGAAAATTTATAATCTCTTGTTTGCCGACTGAAACAAAAGCTTCCTCGACAGTTTAAAATTATGGGGATGTAGCTCAAATGGTAGAGCGCCGGCTTTGCATGCGAGAGGTACGGGGATCGATGACCCGCATCTCCAAAACTAGAGCCACTCATCGAATGGTAATCACTATCTCCAGATAATCTCTTGCATATCGAAATTCCTAACAAATAGATTTTCTGCGAACGAAAAGAAAAAGTTCATAGTTGCTGACTAAGCGAAAAAAACTTCCGCGAGATTTGATAAACATGGGATGTAGGTCAAATGGTAAAGCGCCCACTTATCAAGCCAGAAATACGGGAGCACTACCCCGCATCTCCAAAGTTAAGCACATCGTGTATTTAATTATCTTTCTTCAGAAAACTACTGAATATTGAAATCCCATACAAGAAATACCTTCCCAGAAAATTCATAACCTCTTGTTTGCCGACTGAAACAAAAGCTTCCTCGACCGTTCTAAACTGTGGGGATGTAGCTCAAATGGTAGAGCGCTTGCTATGCATGCGAGAGGTACGGGGAGCGATGCCCCGGATCTTCAAAACTAGAGCCACTCATCAAAAAGGTGATCACTAACTCCATATTGAAATTCCTATCAAGTAGATTTTCTGCGAACGAAAAAAAAACTTCATAGTTGCTGACTGAGCGAAAAACAAATCCGCGAGATTTGATAAACATGGGATGTAGGTCAAATGGTAGAGCGCCCACTTATCAATCCAGAAGTACGGGGAGCAATACCCCGCATATCCAAAGTTAAGGACATCGAGTTTTTAAATAACTTTCTTCAGAAAACTACTGAATATTGAAATCTTATACAAGAAATACCTTCCCAGAAAATTTATAATCTCTTGTTTGCCGACTGAAACAAAAGCTTCCTCGACAGTTTAAAACTATGGGGATGTAGCTCAATTGGTAGAGCGCTGGCTTTGCATGCGAGAGGTACGGGGATCGATGAACCGCATCTCCAAAACTAGAGCCACTCATCGAATGGTAATCACTATCTCCAGATAATCTCTTGCATATCGAAATTCCTTACAAATAGATTTTCTGCGAACGAAAAGAAAAAGTTCATAGTTGCTGACTAAGCGAAAAAAAATTCGGCGAGATTTGATAAACATGTGATGTAGGTCAAATGGTAGAGCGCCCACTTAGCAAGCCAGAAGTACGGGGAGCAAAACCCCGCATCTCCAAAGTTAAGGACATCCAGAAATTATTTAAATTTCTTCAGAAAACTACTGAATATTGAAGTCTTATACAAGAAATACTTTCCAAGAAAAATTTCAACATCTTGTTTGCCGACTGAAACAAAAGCTTCCTCGACAGTTATAAATCATGGGGATGTAGCTCAAATGGTAGAGCGCTCGCTTTGCATGCGAGAGCTACGGGGATCGATGCCCCGCATCTCCAAAACAAGAGCCACTTATCAAATGGTAATCACTATCTCCAGATAATCTATTGCATATTGAATTTCCTAACAAGTAGATTTTCTGCGAACGAAAAGAAAAAGTTCATAGTTGCTGACTAATCGAAAAAAACTTCCGCGAGATTTGATAAACATGGGATGTAGGTCAAATGGTAGAGCGCCCACTTAGCAAGCCAGAAGTACGGGGAGCAAAACCCCGCATCTCCAAAGTTAAGGACATCGAGCAATTAACTAAATATCTTCAGAAAATAACTGAATATTGAAGTCTTATACAAGAAATACCTTCCAAGACAAATTTTAACCTCTTGTTTGCCGACTGAAACAAAAGCTTACTCGACCGTTATGAATCATGGGGATGTAGCTCAAAAGGTAGAGCGCTCGCTTAGCATGCGAGAGGTTCGGGGATCAATGCCCCGCATCTCCAAAACTTGAGTCACTCATCAAATGGTAATCACTATCTCCAGATAATCTATTGCATATTGAAATTCCTAACAAGTAGATTTTCTGCGAACGAAAAGAAAAAGTTCATAGTTGCTGACTAATCGAAAAAAACTTCCGCGAGATTTGATAAACATGGGATGTAGGTCAAATGGAAGAGCGCCCACTTATCAAGCCAGAAGTACGGGGAGCAATACCCCGCATCTCCAAAGTTAAGGACATCGAGTTTTTAATTAATTTTCTTCAGAAAACTACTGAATATTGAAATCTTATACAAGAAATACCTTCCCAGAAATTTTATAACCTCTTGTTTGCCGACTGAAACAAAAGCTTCCCCGACAGTTGTAAATTATGGGGAGTAGCTCAAATGGTAGAACGCTCGCTTTGCATGCGAGAAGTACGGGGATCGATGCCCCGCATCTCCAAAACTAGAGTCACTCATTAAATTGTAATCACTATCTCCAGATAATCTATTGCATATTGAAATTCCTAAGAAGTAAATTTTCTGCGAACGAAAAGAAAAAGTTCATAGTTGCTGGCTAAGCGAAAAAAAATACCGCGAGATTTGATAAACATGGGATGTAGGTCAAATGGTAGAGCGCCTACTTAGCAAGCCAGAAGTACGGGGGAGCAATACCCCGCATCTCCGAAGTTAAAGACATCGAACAATTAATTAATTTTCTTCAGAAAACTACTGAATATTGAAGTCTTATACAAGAAATACCTCTCAAGAAAAATTTTAGCCTCTTGTTTGCCGACTGAAACAAAAGCTTCCTCGACAGTTATAAATCATTGGGATGTAGCTCAAATGGTAGAGAGCTCGCGTAGCATGCTAGAGGTACGGGGATCAATGCCCCGCATCTCCAAAACTTGCGTCACTCATTAAATGGTAATCTCTATCTCCAGATAATCTATTGCATATTGATAGATTTTCTGCGAACGAAAAGAAAAACTTCATAGTTGCTGACTAAGCGAAAAAAAATTCCGCGAGATTTGATAAAAATGGGATGTAGGTCGAATGAAAGAGCGCCCACTTATCAAGCCAGAACTACGTGGAGCACTACCCCGCATCTCCAAAGTTAAGGTCATCGAGTTTTTAATTAACTTTCTTCAGAAAACTACTGAATATTGAAATCTTATACAAGAAATACCTTCCCAGAAAATTTATAACCTCTTGTTTGCCGACTGAAACAAAAGCTTCCTCGACAGTTATAAATCATGGGGATGTAGCTCAAATGGTAGAGCGCTCGCTTAGCATGCGAGAGGTACGGGGATCAATGCCCCGCATCTCCAAAATTTGAGTCACTCATCAAATGGTAATCACTATCTCCAGATAATCTATTGCATATTGAAATTCCTAACAAGAAGATTTTCTGCGAACGAAAAGAAAAACTTCATAGTTGCTGACTAAGCGAAAAAAAATTCCGCGAGATTTGATAAACATGGGATGTATGTCAAATGGTAGAGCGCCTACTTAGAAAGTCACAAGAACGGGGGAGCAATACCCCGCATCTCCGAAGTTAAAGACATCGAACAATTAATTAACTTTCTTCAGAAAACTACTGAATATTGAAGTCTTATACAAGAAATACCTTTCAAGAAAAAAAAATAGCCTCTTGTTTGCCGACTGAAACAAAAGCTTCCTCGACAGTTATAAATCATGGGGATGTAGCTCAAATGGTAGAGCGCTCGCTTAGCATGCGAGATGTACGAGGATCAATGCCCCGCATCTCCAAAACTTGAGTCACTCATCAAATGGTAATCACTTTCTCCAGATAATCCATTGCATATTGAAATTCCTAACAAGAAGATTTTCTGCGAACGAAAAGAAAAACTTCATAGTTGCTGACTAAGCGAAAAAAAATTCCGCGAGATTTGATAAACATGGGATGTATGTCAAATGGTAGAGCGCCTACTTAGAAAGCCACAAGAACGGGGGAGCAATACCCCGCATCTCCGAAGTTAAAGACATCGAACAATTAATTAACTTTCTTCAGAAAACTACTGAATATCGAAGTCTTATACAAGAAATACCTTTCAAGAAAAAAAAATAGCCTCTTGTTTGCCGACTGAAACAAAAGCTTCCTCGACAGTTATAAATCATGGGGATGTAGCTCAAATGGTAGAGCGCTCGCTTAGCATGCGAGAGGTACGAGGATCAATGCCCCGCATCTCCAAAACTTGAGTCACTCATCAAATGGTAATCACTTTCTCCAGATAATCCATTGCATATTGAAATTCCTAACAAGAAGATTTTCTGCGAACGAAAAGAAAAACTTCATAGTTGCTGACTAAGCGAAAAAAAATTCCGCGAGATTTGATAAACATGGGATGTAGGGCAAATAGAAGAGCGCCCACTTATCAAGCCAGAAGTACGTGGAGCAATACCCCGCATCTCCAAAGTTAAGGTCATCGGGTTTTTAATTAACTTTCTTCAGAAAACTACTGAATATTGAAATCTTATACAAGAAATACCGTCCCAGAAAATTTATAACCTCTTTTTTGCCGACTGAAACAAAAGCTTCCTCGACAGTTATAAATCATGGGGATGTAGCTCAAATGGTAGAGCGCTCGCTTAGCATGCGAGAGGTACGGGGATCAATGCCCCGCATCTCCAAAACTTGAGTCACTCAGCAAATGGTAATCACTATCTCCAGATAATCTATTGCATATTGAAATTCCTAACAAGAAGATTTTCTGCGAACGAAAAGAAAAATTTCATAGTTGCTGACTAAGCGAAAAAAAATTCCGCGAGATTTGATAAACATGGGATGCAGGTCAAATGGAAGAGCGCCCACTTATCAAGCCAGAAGTACGGGGAGCAATACCCCATATCTTCGAAATTAAGGACATCGAGCAATTAATTAACCTTTTTCAGAAAGCTACTGAATATTGAAGTCTTATACAAGAAATACCTTCCATGAAAAATTTTAACCTCTAGTTTGCCGACTGAAACAAACGCTTCCTCGACAGTTATCAATCATGGGGACGTAGCTCAAATGGTAGAGAGCTCGCTTAGCATTCTAGAGGTAAGGGGATCAATGCCCCGCATCTCCAAAACTTGAGTCACTCATCAAATGGTAATCTCTATCTCCAGATAATCTATTGCATATTGAAATTCCTAACAAGTAGATTTTCTGCGAACGAAAAGAAAACTTCATAGTTGCTGACTAAGCGAAAAAAAATTCCGCGAGATTTGATAAAAATGGGATGTAGGTCAAATGGAAGAGCGCCCACTTATCAAGCCAGAATCACGTGGAGCAATACCCCGCATCTCCAAAGTTAAGGTCATCGAGTTTTTAATTAACTTTCTTCAGAAAACTACTGAATATTGAAATCTTATACAAGAAATACCTTCCCAGAAAATTTATAACCTCTTGTTTGCCGACTGAAACAAAAGCTTCCTCGACAGTTAAAAATCATGGGGATGTAGCTCAAATGGTAGAGCGCTCGCTTAGCATGCTAGAGGTACGGGGAGCAATGCTCCGCATCTCCAAAACTTGAGTCACTCATCAAATGGTAATCACTATCGCCAGATAATCTATTGCATATTGAAATTCCTAACATGAAGATTTTCTGCGAACGAAAAGAAAAACTTCATAGTTGCTGACTAAGCGAAAAAAAATTCCGCGAGATTTGATAAACATGGGATGTAGGTCAAAATGAAGAGCGCCCACTTATCAAGCCAGAAGTACGGGGAGCAATACCCCGCATCTCCAAAGTTAACGACATCAAGTTTTTAATAAATTTTCTTCAGAAAACTACTGAATATTGAAATCTTATACAAGAAATACCTTCCTAGAAAATTTATAACCTCTTGTTTGCCGACTGAAATAAAAACTTCCTCGACAGTTCTAAACTATGGGGATGTAGCTCAAATGGTAGAGCGCTCGCTTAGCATGCGAGAGGTACGGGGATCAATGCCCCGCATCTCCAAAACTTGAGTCACTCATCAAATGGTAATCACTATCTCCAGATAATCTATTGCATATTGAAAATCCTAACAAGAAGATTTTCTGCGAACGAAAAGAAAACTTCATAGTTGCTGACTAAGCGAAAAAAATTTCCGCGAGATTTGATAAAAATGGGATGTAGGTCAAATGGAAGAGCGCCCACTTATCAAGCCAGAAGTACGGGGAGCAATACCCCATATCTCCGAAATTAAGGACATCGAGCAATTAATTAACCTTTTTCAGAAAACTACTGAATATTGAAGTCTTATACAAGAAATACCTTCCATGAAAAATTTTAACCTCTTGTTTGCCGACTGAAACAAAAGCTTCCTCGACAGTTATCAATCATGGGGATGTAGCTCAAATAGTAGAGCGCTCGCTTAGCATGCGAGGGGTACGGGGATCAATGCCCCCCGTCTCCAAATCTAGAGTCACTCATCAAATGGTAATCACTATCTCCAGATAATGTATTGCATATTGAAATTCCTAACAAGTAGATTTTCTGCGAACGAAATGAAAAACTTCATAGTTGCTGACTAAGCGAAAAAAAATTCCGCGAGATTTGAAAAACTTGGGATGTAGTTCAAATGGTAGAGCGCCCACTTATCAAGCCAGAAGTACGGGGAGCAATACCCCGCATCTCCAAAGTTAACGACATCAAGTTTTTAATAAATTTTCTTCAGAAAACTACTGAATATTGAAATCTTATACAAGAATTACCTTCCCAGAAAATTTATAACCTCTTGTTTGCCGACTGAAATAAAAACTTCCTCGACAGTTCTAAACTATGGGGATGTAGCTCAAATGGTAGAGCGCTCGCTTAGCATGCGAGAGGTACGGGGATCAATGCCCCGCATCTCCAAAACTTGAGTCACTCATCAAATGCTAATCACTATCTCCAGATAATCTATTGCATATTGAAATTCCTAACAAGAAGATTTTCTGCGAACGAAAAGAAAACTTCATAGTTGCTGACTAAGCGAAAAAAAATTCCGCGAGATTTGATAAAAATGGGATGTAGGTCAAATGGAAG